CGTAAAGAAGCGGGGCAAGAGGTCGGCCGATGAGGAGTCCCTGGACGGAGAAGGGGCCGGCGGCGCGGACGCGGACGCGGACGCGGCGGACGAGAGCAGCGGCACAAAGAGGGCGGCGCAGAGCCCCCGCGCCGACGGCACCCCCGCGCCCGCCGGCCCGCAGGCGCCCTCCCCGCCGCAGGGCAGCCCCCAGGACCAGCACCACTTCCTCCGGTCCAGGGTCAGGCCGCAGAGCAAGAGGCCCAGGAAGGAGCCGCCCTGCGCCGTGGGGAGCGGCGCCGGCGGCTCAGGACCTCGCGGAAAAGGTAGGGGCCCACGGCGCGGAGACCCCAGACCCCAGCCCCTGCAGGCGAGCCCCCAGACCACCCATCCTGCGGCCTGCACGCCGGGAGGCGCTTGGGGGCAGCCGCGTCCCATGTCCTGGGAGGCAGCTCCTTCCCTCCCGCACAGGGCAGAGCTCTCCCCTGCGCCCGCTGTCTGGGCAGGGGCCGAGTTCTTCCCAGCAGGTCCTTGGCGAGTTTCAGCCGTTGGCTGTTTGAAACAGCAGACAGAAGAACTGGGAAGAGAGAAAATACCTGCTGGGTCTTTCCCCCAGGTGTCAGGTGGGGGACATGCCACACTGGGACCAGCTTTCAGGGCTCTGGTGGGCAGCTGTCCTGTGCTTCAAGGGTTCGTGGCCTGAAGGCCCTGAGGGCACAGGGCTGCCGTCCTTTCATCTGCAGCTGGGCTCCGTTGTGGCCAGTAGGGAGGGACCCGCAGCCACCTCCAGAGCTGGCGAAAAGGCGACCCTGAGGTGCAGCATAGCAGGAGCACACCCGCCTTGCCCCATAGGTGCCGCCCGCAGTGCTCTCTCCCTGTGCCCTCCTGCCTCCTGCGGGCTGGTGGCTCCTGCATTCTTTCCATCCCAGAGCAGGTTTGCAGCCTTTCTATAAATAGCACACATAGCACCCCAGTCCAGTGGGTTTCTAGGAAGGAGATCTTTCACTTAGATCTTTGGAAGTGCTACTTTTTATTCTGAGACATTGTTGCTGTAGGGTGCATGTGCTCACCAGAGACGGACAGAGACAGAAAGTGAGAGATCCTCCTCTGGGGGGATGGCCACGCCGCAGTCCCTTCTCCATTCTCTCTGGATTTGGGGCATGCACACATGCGGGTACAGTGTGAGTTTCAAGCCACCAGGTCCAGGACTTGAAATGTGGTCGGCCATGTGGGAGTCCGCGCCTTAATCACTACACCACCTGCTGGCCCCAGGAAGTGCTGCATTAACCTAATTCAGCGTTCCTGGTAGTTTAAGGAGGAAATGTTTCTAGTGCGGAGCCTGGCCTCCCTGGCTGACGGGAACGCTGGTGTCCGCACACCCAAGGTTGGCCATGCCTTCCCAGTGCATGTTGCAGACGGAGGCTTGGCCATATCAGTGGCTTTGGTGGACGGTCGCTGGCCGACACCCGGCTCTGCTTGTGGGTTGCACGTGGGCCGCGATGGGGGCCCGGGAGAGCAGAGGGAGCCGGTGTGTTTGCCTCTCGGTTTCTGCCCTGAGCTTCCTGCAGAGGCTCAGCCGGCTGCTCTGCCCCCGGCCTGTGTGGGTCCTCTAGTGTACGTCACTGCGCCCTGGATGTGCTGTCCTCACGCTGCAGGGGACCTCAGCATGGTCGAGCACGTGCGGCGGCCAGAGTCAGCCTTGACGTCGCGTTTCCAGTGCAGATGGGTTACCCGTTAATGGCTCATCGGCGAGGAGATGGCAGGCCGTGTGTGTCAGGTTGTCCCTGGAGAGCGTGCGCTTTCCACCCCGCGTGAGGAGCCACACAGCTGTGGTCCTCAGTCCTCTCGGCGCCCACCGCTCCTGCCAGCCAGGCTCCTGGACTGGAGCGTCGT